GGATTAGGTGTTCGTCTGAGGAGGGGGTGGATGAACGCATATAAAAAAAGATCCCATTTTTTTCATTGAGGAGGGAGGATGGTCTTATGGTTAAGGCGCTGGACTGGGCCTCCCAAAAGGGTTCAATTCTGTGCTTTGCCACAGACTTCTTAGATGATTTTGGGCAAGTCATTTAATTTCTGTGCCTCCTGTTCCTTAACTGTAAAATGGGAACAGTGCTGTTCCTGACTCCCACTTCCTCTTTGTCTTGTTCCTTTAGGTCAGTGGTTCTCAACCTATTTACCATTGTGGGCTGCATATGTAGCTTTCTATGTGTTATGTGGGCCACATCCATGCAATATATATACTACCTGTATGGCCCTGAGGATGTCACATGGGCCACCACTGTTTGCTGATTGGTCCACAAGCGGCCTGCAACCCACAGGTTGAGAATCACTGATTTAGATTGTAAACTCTTTGGAGCAGGGACAGCCTCTCAGTGTGTGTATATACAACGCTTAGCACAATGAGGCCCTCTAGGCACTATCGTAATACAAATAATTAGGGTTGTCAAATGATTAAAAAAATTAACCGTGATTAATTACGATATTAAAAAAATTTATCACAATTGATTACAGTTTTCATTGCACTGTTAAACAATAATAGTATATGAATTTAAATGTATTGTAAATATTTGTGGATGTTTTTCTACATTTTCAAAATATATTGATTTCAATTACAATGCAGAATACAAAATAAGACAGAAAAAAAGGGGGACATGGGTGCACCCCAGCATGCTTACTAAACAGAGTGCTCCCATGAGGCATCAGTGACAGAACAGGGCATTGTTTTGAAAAGAGACTTCAAACAGAAGTGCAAAATTAAGTGCATCCGTCTAATGTTTCTGCTGGGCTTAGTACAGTTCCCTGGAGGGATCTCTACTGCATTGTCATTGTTCTTTGCTTGGATACTGGGCTACTCTGTGCAGCCTATTAAATTGCTTAGAATAACTCAAGGTGTAAAAGCCTGAAGCTTTATTGCTAACATGAATTGGTTAGTATAAGGAACATAACTTTCATGCATAATACATACACATGATAATCAAACAGTTATGCATGGGTGACTTAGGAGGTTATTGCTCTGCCTAATGGTTTTGAATCTGATTACATGTTTTGCTAAGGTCCTTCTGACATTTTTATTTTAAAATAATTTGATTTGGGTTCTTTAGTAATTAAATACAATTTCTGGAACAGTTGTCTTGAACTCTCCAACTGCCAATTAGAAAAAGCCTTTGAAAATGTATATTATGGACCAAAATTGTCCTTGGTGTAAATCTATTAATCAGTGGAGTTAATCTAGAGATGAATTTGGCCCTGTGTCTCCAAATGAAAGGCAGGAGCTATATAATCTGTTTATGGTAGGGCTGTCAAGCGATTAAAATATTAATCACGATTAATCGCGCAATTAATCATGCTGTTTATACTATTTATATAAATATTTTTGGAGGTTTTCCACATTTTCAAATATATTGATTTCAAATACAACACAGAATACAAAGTGTACAGTGCTCACTTTGTTTATTTTTATTGTAAATATTTGCACTATACATATTTAATAATAATAAAAGAAATAGTATTTTTCAATTCACTTAATACAAGTACTGTAGTGTAATCTCTTTTATCATGAAAGTTGAACTTACAAATGTAAAATTATGTACAAAAAATAAATGCATTCAAAAACAAAACAATTTAAAACTTTAGCGCCTACAAGTCCACTCAGTCCTACTTCTTGTTCAGCCAATCACTCAGACAAACAAGTTTTGTTTACATTTGCAGGAGATAATGCTGCCCACTTCTTGTTTACAATGTTACCTGAAAGTGAGAACAGGCGTTCACATGGCACTGTTGTAGCCAGCGTTGCAAAATATTTATGTGCCAAATGTGCTAAAGATTCATATGTCCATGCTGAGATTCTGCTCAATAACGATCCAAAGCAGTGCAGACCAACGCATGTTCATTTTCATCATCTGAGTCAGATGCCACCAGCAGAAGGTTGATTTTCTTTTTTGATGGTTTGGGTTTCTATAGTTTCCGCATCGGAGTGTTGCTCTTTTAAGACTTCTGAAAGCATGCTCCACACCCTGTCCCGATCAGATTTTGGAAGGCACTTCAGATTCTTAAATCTTGGGTCGAGCGCTGTAGCTATCTTTAGAAATCTCACATTGGTACCTTCTTTGCATTTTGTCAAATTTGCAGTGAAAGTGTTCTTAAAACGAACAACATGCTGGGTCATCATCCGAGACAGTTATATCATGAAATATATAGCAGAATGCAGGTAAAACACAGAGCAGGAGACATACAATTCTCCCCCATGGAGTTCAGTCACAAATTTAATTAACGCATTATTTTTTTAAGGAGCGTCATCAGCATGGAAGCATGTCCTTTGGAATGGTGGCCAAAGCATGAAGAGGCATATGAATGTTTAGCATATCTGGCATGTAAATATCTTGCAATGCCGGGTACAAAAGTGCCATGTGAACGTCTGTTCTCACTTTCAGGTGACATTGTAAATAAGTGGGCAGCATTATCTCCCGTAAATGTAAACAAACTTGTTTCTCTTAGTGAATGGCTGCACAAGAAGTAGGACTGAGTGGACTTGTAGGCTCTGAAGTTTTACATTGTTTTGTTTTTTGATTACAGTTATGTAACAAAAAAAATCTACATTTGTAAGTTGCGCTTTCACGATAAAGAGATTGCACTATAGTACTTGTAGGAGGTGAATTGAAAAATACTATTTATTTTGTTATTTTTATAGTGCAAATAAAAATAATATAAAGTGAGGACTGTACACTTTGTATTCTGTGTTGTAATGGAAATCAATATATTTGAAAATGTAGAAAAAATCCAAAATATTTAATAAATTTCAATTGGTATTCTATTGTTTATTAGTGCGATTAAAACTGCGATTAATTGCGATTAACTTTTTTGAGTTAACTGTGATTAATTGACAGTCCTATTTTATGTTTTAAAGAGAATTTCAATCTTGGATTTGGTGACTTTTCCCAATGTTTGATTTGCCATGTTTGCTGTTCTGAAATTGTCGAAGTTGGTTTTACTTACTTTCTCTGTTTAGAGAGACACTTAGTTATTTATAAATAATAACACTGCAATTGGAGATTTTGAATGGTTTTATTTAGATTGTAACTCTTTGGGGTAGAAAATGCTGTTGTTGTTGTTGTTGTTGTTGTTGTTTGTTGTTTATTCAGATGGTAAGCCCTTTGGGGCAGAGGCCATCTTTTTGTTCTGTGTTTGTACAGTGCCTAGGACATCAGAGTCCCGAGTCCATGACTGATTGGGGTTTCTGTGTGCTACTGTAATATGAATAACAATGAATGATTGGCTCCACAGGTTTTTTTTTCTAAACACGTTCTCTTGGAAGTTATCATATTCCTTTGATTAGGGAATCCAATACTTCCTTTTTAAAAAGCCAACTAACCTCCTCCCCTTAGAGCTGTTATTCCCATGAATTTCTAATGTACAAGGGAGGGATTTATTAAAGAGGAATTTATAACCACGCCAGAATATAGATATAATGACTTGGAAAGGGGAGTAAGGCAATGTGTTATCCAAATTGTGGTGACGCCGGTTCCTTTTGTGGTTCTTGTTCTGAATGAGAACACTGAACTGCTCTTTCTCAGTAGCAAATCCAAGTGACTGTGTTTATACAAATGTTTGACAGTTCTAAAATCTCTCTCTGAAGCTCCCTCTGCAGAAAACTGCTCATTTCCATAAGTGCCATATAAACACGTCTGCTTAGTCGCTGTGAAATGTTAATAAATATTTGAAAATACAGCGTTGTGCTGTTTGGGGAGAGTGTGTGGCTTAGTGGTTAGAATGGCACTGGAAGCCAGGACTTGACAGACACAAAAACACAATTGTGATCTGCCTAGTCATGCTTTTCCTCCCAGCTTAGGAGGTAAAAGTATATTTCTCTGTCTACTGATGCCCATTACCATGGTATCTGCATACCAGTTGTATTTCTTTGCCTGGAGAGATGCGTCCAAAGTTTTGGCAGACCTAGGCCCCATTTCCAGCTTTGTTTCACTCCTGCTTGGTACTTGAGATAAGTCTCCTTATTATCTGTACTTAATGTGGCTAAGGTAGAATGTAGAATTAGTTTAATATATGCCGCGTCCTAGTCTATCCTGGGAACTGTCTCCTGCCTTAGACCTTGTGACAGGATAATAGGTAATTAACAGCTAATAGGTACAAACAGTCTTTAGCAACTGTGACACCGTTTGTTAAGCTCCATGGCCTTGCTACTGGCCAAGCAGAATAAACATACATAGTGTAAATGACCTATGTGTGCTGTGAATGGAGCTAGTCAGAACTGAAAGGGTTTTTTTGTTTTGTTTTTTTTAAATGGTGTTGTTTCCCTGTAGAGGGTTGGAAAACACACCCATTTTCACTTTTTTTCCCCCTCCTTCCCATTCCCCACTTATTTTTTTTTAAATCAAAATTTTGATCAGAAACATTCTTGACATTTTTTTGAAATGTTTCATTTACTGAAAACCACATTCTCTCTCTCTCTCTCTCTCTCAATGATTTCAAGATCATTTTTGACAAACTTCCTGAAATATTTAGAGGGAAGTCTACGTCTTTTCACCAAAAACCCCTTCTTTCTATTAAAAAAAACGTTCTGATCTGTTTTCCCCACGATTCTGTTCCAAGTGTGTTTTGTTTCTTGTTCCCAGGTTACATTATGCTCCAGTGTCTCAGGAGTCTGTCGTGTTGCTGAAGACCTGTCCTGCACAGGACCCCAGTGGAGAACTGCTTGGAACCAGGCCCCTTCATGTTGGCACAGCAATTACTGGTCTTCTGCTGAGGCATCCCGGATGTCTCCCCTTTGTGTGCTGGATTACTGGGCAGTAGCGTTAAAGGATGGCTATGTAGCTTCTTGACCACAAAGCTGGCAGGCGGCGCCCTCCCCTCCCACCTCTTCCTCACCTAGGATTTATAGTTTCTTTTTTTTTTTTTTTTTTTAATTTCTAAAGTAGGTTTTAAAAGATTAAACATTTTTCAAAAACAGCTCTCAAAAATGACAAGCCTGTTCCGGCGGAGCAGCAGCAATGGCAGCTCAAGGAACAGCTCTTCCGCCCAGGAACTCAACAACAGCCGGCCCCCCAGGCAGGTGCGACGGCTGGAGTTCAACCAGGCCATGGAGGATTTCAAGACTATGTTCCCCAATATGGATTATGACATTATTGAATGTGTTTTGAGGGCTAACAATGGAGCTGTGGACGCCACCATTGACCAGCTCTTACAGATGAATTTAGACGGCAGCGGTTATGATGACAGCTCGGACTCAGATGACAGTATTCCCCCAGAGGTAACATTCATTACCCCCGCATCTTGCATGGGTTGGGGGCTTTGTTCACTGGCATCCAGGAAAAGGATCGGAGTTCTTGTCTATAGAGAGGGACTATGTGGTTGGACTCCTGGGTTCTGTTATCGGCGTTTCCTGTGTGACCTTGGGCAAGCAATTTAGCCTCAATATACTTCAGTTTCCCCACCTGTACAGTGATTATAATACTATCCCGCTTTACAATGTGGTTTTATTAACCAGTGTTTTAAAGCACCATGACATCCTCAGATGAAAGACACTGTATTAGGCTCCAATTCAGCAAAGCATTTGAGCACACACTTAACTTTTAAGCATGTGAGTAGTCCCACTGAAATCATGTGCCTATGTTCAAATACATTGACTTCACACATTTAAACTTCCGGTTCAGTATAAATACAATGAAGTCAATAAGACTACTCACATGCTTGACAATTATGTACGTGTTTCCTGTATCAGGGCCTGAGTGCGGAGCATTGCACTTCATTCTTTGAGTTGCATTCATTCTCTCTCTCTCTCTCTAGGAAGTGTCTGCTCATTCAAGAAATGTACATGTGTATATTATACTGGTATAATGATCCATACCCAGATAGTGTATTAATTAAAGGGATCTCTTTTCTCATGTCATATTTGCTGCTAGATTTTACCTTCAGTGTATTCTGATTTTTTAGGTTGTCCCTCAAGAGCTAGATGAATTGGTAGTGGAATATAAACATTCTTTTTTACCTTTGTGATTGGTTCAACTGCAGCTTGGATGGGTGATCACCAAAGCTGATTGCATTTGGCAGCCCTTGCGTTGCTTATATGCCATGAGAAGGTGCAGTTAGAGTGCCTGGTCCAATAGCACTGGGGCTGAGGGCAAGAAACATCACCACAGTTTGGCCCTACATTTAGAACTGAGTTAACTGAGTCTTTGTCACTAAAGAGGAAGGAAGGAAACAAATCTTTTGAGTAAGAAGTCGTCATATTTCCTTAGTTTTCAGAGCAGAAGAGTCTCAGCTTTGCAATGCTATTGTCACAGGAAATGTCAGCAACAACTATTTAACACTTTCTCTGTATTCAGTTCTATGCTCTTTCATTTCTGTGTTCCTCATGTACCTTGAGATTGAAGAGTGGCTATGATCAGGATTTCTTTGCTGTAAGCAGGACAAATGCAAGATCTGATAAAGAGAAGGCAAAACATTGAAGCAAAGTAACTAGGAACAGCATAGCTAATACTTAATGACCTAGAAGGAAACCAAGGTGGTGAAGTGAGGATGCATCTAAATGTTATGAGGGGTCTAGTTTGCTCTTAATGCATGTTTACAGCTCTCCCTCCCCCCCCGTGTGGGCATGAAGTGTGTGAGTTCTCCATTGCTCAGTATGTGTTATATACCTTTCTCTGTGTCTTATTTACAGAGGATGTGAGTTGTTACAGTCCCCAGTTATAGAGCCTGTCTCTTCACCTTGAGCTGTAGATACTCATGTTTCAGGTCTGGCATTCCCTGGTTCAATCCCTGGTGTCAGCCAAGATAGTGGCCATCATATGTACACATAAAGTCTCACTTGGTGAGTTCCCTGTGCTGGGGCATAGCAAGCCATCCCTTTCCTATGTCTGCTGATGAGATAAACAGCAGTATGTTCCTATGTTCATAATAAAAATGAAACAAAGTTAAAGTTCTTACTCCCAACACTTACTTTCTTTAACCTCTTAGTAGAAAATGATGACACGAGTGCATGAGGGAGAGGATGGAGAAAGGAAATTCCATGGGGCATCCATTTAGTTTGTGTTATTAGCCAGAGTGAGCAGATTTCCAGTCCATAACTGGATGGATGGTGGGTAGGACCCAGGGTATCAAGAGAAAATCAGAGATCTACTGAAAAGGAAGTGTTTTTTGAAGAAAAAAAAACCCCAGCTATTAACTGAAGATACAGACAGACTTCCACACAGCTTGAGTTCCAGCTTTGTCTACTTTGTTTACCAGGGAACATGCTCCATCTGGAACTTTGTGCAAGCACACAGACACATCTAGTGGCCTTCATATGTTCACTTCCAGTTATACTATCGTAACATATGGTGAGGTGCAGAAACTATGGTGAAGTATTTTAAGAAGGAATTCTCTGGGTCTGTATGAACTAGAACCCTCATATCAGAGTGGAAACTGTGCATGTAACTCTCACTCATTGGAATGAAAAGTTATTCTGCAAACAAATAACTTTTTAAGGCATGTTGAGTGGCAAAATGCAAAGGCATGTGGCTGATAACTTCAGTTGCGCTTTCTGATGGTGTAACCACTCACTCTATTTTGATGAGCTTTGTTTCATAGGAACAAAAAGTAGGAAGAAAAGAACAGTGGGTGGGTGGGTGGGTAGGAAAAGTAAGAGCAGAGAGTTCTACCTGCAAAAGCTGATAAGGACAGACTGTGTGTCAGGCTTAGCAAAGTGGGCAGCTGGAAACTGGCTTCAGATTACAAGAGGCTCTTCGACTATTTATGGATTAAAAACAACCTGAGAAGACAAGGATTTCTGAGAAGAGAATTGTGGCTTCTAATGTCAAGGCAATGGGATCTTGCAGGTGCTGGGGGTCTAATTTCTTCTAATTGGAGTCATGCAATCAGGAGGGAGCTGTATTTTTGTGACTTGGGCCTAGATCCTTGTTAACCATATCATTCTGTCTGCTGTAGGCATCATGTGCACCATCCTCCTCCTTCCCTTCCTCCTCCTGTCTCCAGTTGTATTGTGCCTGCATTAGGTATCAAGAAAGCAGGCTGTGTTCTGCAAATTGTCTACTTCTAAAAAGAAAATGTTTTCATTCTTGGATTCTTCTTCTTGGTCTTTCCAGTGGTGATTCCACCGTCGGGTCACCTGGGACGTTGCCCCACATAGAAAAAATATCTAAGTAAAATAAATATCCCTGCCTTTCTTTCACAGTTACCCTTGGATCTTCCAGATGAAGGAAGATCCAGATGGGGAAACCCTAGAACATGGACTGTTTCCAGCAGGGCCTCCAAAGCCAGAGGGCATGCGCACTTCAGTGAAAGAGCTAGAAGCAACAGCCAAAGCCTGGGGGGCACTTTTAAAAGTGCCCTTTCTGAGTGCATGTGCCCCTGAGGAGAATTGCAGAGGATTACATACCTAAGATTTGCACCTGGAGCTGCCACTGGTGCACATTCACCTCCCGCCCCCCCCTCCCAAGGAACTGCATAGACATCTAACAACATGATGTGTCATGGTGATATTTATAGCAAAGTAACATTAACAAGTGATTAAAGCAGGGGACTGGGAATTCATACTCCTGGGAATTCATACTTAGATCTGCTACTGACATCACTGTATGACCTTGGGCTGTGAACACAGACCCTGCGAAGATGGCCGCAGTACACTGAACTGATTTTAAATGCCTAAACTATATTTAGGCATTCCTGTGTCCTGTGTTGAAACACCTAACTGATTAAGGGGTTTAAATCTCATTTTCAAAAGGGATTTGGACACTTAGGAGCCAAAATCCCATTGACAGTCAATGGGCCTCTTACCTACTTCACATGGAGAAGTTGGAAGACTCAATTAATGCTAGTTTGGCAATGTAAGATCCTCTAAAGTAAAGTGCAAATTGTTTATTAACAACAATCCAGGACTCCTCATCATACCCACTGATATTACACAGCAATTTGCTGGTGAGCAAAGTGTATTTCTTTTTATAGCTAATTTTGTGGTTGAAATTAGGGCCTGTGGAAAAGGAAGGTCTTCTACCCTCAGCCCTATCCCAACAATAGTGCAAGCAGGCACTGTTCAGGCTCTTCTCCTACATACTTCAGCCAGTGCCCCTTGAATCGTGATCTGCAGCACTTCCTGCTATTCCCGTCCTGGTTCCTGCATTGCTCAGTCAATGTATCTCAATCCTGAGCGCCCGCCCTCCTCCCCATTTTATTCCAGTCGTGGGTGTTTCCTGAAGAGAACCATCCATCACAAGAGTGAGAGATGTCAATGGTTAGTGTCTCATTTATCCTCAGACTCATTTTCGTTTGTGATCTCAATCCATATTTCCACAGGGGAGAGGCTCCGGCAGTAACCCAGCTGCTGCACCTATTAAGAAACTACCGAACTACAAGTATCAGAGGGGCAGCCATGTTAGTCTGGATCTGTAAAAAGTGACAGAGTCCTGTGGCACATTAAAGACTACAGATGTATTGGAGCATAAGCTTTCGTGGGTGAATACCCACTTCGTCACGCATGTGTCTGACGAAGTGGGTATTCACCCATGAAAGCTTATGCTCCAATACGTCCGTTAGTCTTTAAGGTGCCACAGGACTCGTTACCAAACTACAGTAGCTCAGATGAGTAAATAGGTCTCTAAACCACAAGAGCCCAATTCTGGTGACACAGGGGGCACCTCTCTTTACGTAGAATGTGACCCCAGCTTGTGAAGATAAGTCATCACTATGGAATTTTACGTAGGGCTTGTCTGCACTTAAAACACTGTAGTGGCACAGCAGTAGTGCTTCAGCAAAGATGCTACATATGCTGATGGGAGGGCTTCTCTAGCTGGCGTAGGTACTCCACCTCCCCAAGAGGTGCTAGTGCTGTCTACATCAGGGGTTAGGACGGTTTAACTGGATTGTCCACACCCCTGAGCGACATGTTATACCGACCTCATTTCCTAGTGTAGACCAGGCCTTAGCGTATGTCTGCACTACAGGTGCTATAGCGGTAGCATGGCATCTACACTGCTGTAGCATTGTAGTGTAGACACTACAGTGATGGAATGAGCTTTTTTTTTTTTGCTATAGCAAATCCACCCTCTTGAGAGATGGTCGTTAGGTCAATGGAAGCATTCTTCTGTCAACCTAGCAATGTCTATACTGGTGCTTGGGTTGGCTTAACTATGTCTCTCAGGGATGTGAATTTTTCACACCCCTGAGCCATGTAGTTAGGTTGAGCTAAGTTTTAGGCATAGAGAAGGCCTCACATTCTGTAGCTTGTTCTGCAAAGGAGCACTAAATGAACTGAGTCATTAGCAGCCAGTAACTGTTTAAGAGCCACTCCCAAGTGCATTTGAGTTGTCAACGTATGCAGCGCTCTGGGTTTTGTAAAGTAGGCCAGGCAATGGGTCAGTCTGGAGGCCAGTCAGTAAAATATGCAAGAAGTTCAGAAGCGGGTTGCAGTTGATTAGTGAGGCAGGCACACATTCGAGTGCATGGTTCAGTCAGTGAAATATGCAGCTAGATCAGTTTGTTTTAAAAGGCACTTGAGGTCTGAGCCAAAACCTCACTGAGTCAGAGGAAAGACTTCCATTGACTTCAGACAGCTTTGGATCAGGCCCTTCGTGAAGTCTGTTCCTGGAGGGCATCGTGGGGATGGGAGCCGAGATGCCTTAGGGCTTGGCTACACTTGCGAGTTACTGCGCTGTAAAGCCTCCCCCAGCGCTGTAACTCACTCCCCGTCCACACTGGCAGGGCACTTGCAGCGCTGTATCTCCCTGGGTACACAGCTGCAGGTACTCCACTTCCCCGAGAAGCATAAGAGATACAGCGGAGTGGCTACGACTCTCCCCTGTGAGTGTGTACCAGGAATCAACCTGCAGCGCTGTACTGATCACCTTGTCAAGTGGCCAATCCTCTCCATTGTTGTGACCGGCTGCAGGAATGCGGAAGTGCCGGTTTCAAAGCTCGTACCACAGAGAAAAAGCTAACAGTTTGCTGTTTGCTTTGAGTGAGTGAGTAAATGAATGAGCAGGGGGCCGGGAGTTCAGAACTTGCAAAATAGAGTGCTGACACGCTCCAAAAAGCACTCTCTCTCCCCCCACACTCCCTGTCACACTCCACCCCACACCCCCGTTTTGAAAAGCACGTTGCAGCCACATGAATGCTGGGATAGCTGCCCATAATGCACCGCTCCCAACACAGCTACAAATGTTGCAAGTGTGGCCACGCCACTGCGCTGGCAGCTGGCACTGTGGACAGACTGCAGCGCTTTTCCCTACTCAGCTGTACGAAGACAGGTTTACCTCACAGCGCTGTACAGCTGCAAGTGTAGTCAAGGCCTTAGTCTTCAGTGGCAGCTCATAAGTGACATCACTGCTGGTGAGAGATGCAGAAAGCTAGAATCAAATTAAAGACACGGTCACCGGAAGCATCAACTTTTAGAGGAGGTCAAGAAGCAGCTCCTTGCCTGATCATGTTCCTCCCTCGAGAGATTACAGAGGAGTTGGGCACCTAACAGAGAAAAATAAACCTGTGTTTAAAATCAGTTCAGTGCACTGCGGCCATCTTCGTGGGGTCTGTGTTACCAGTGCAGGACTGCATGTGCAGAGCAATGCAGAGGTGTGGAGAACGCACTTACTTCCACACCATTTGGGGTGTGAACTGCAGACTCTCCCTACGCTGTGAGGAGAGGGAGTTACAAGGGAGAGAGAGAAAGGCAAAACCAGGAATGACTGCACTGTGCAGCACTGAAGGCCACAGCCAGCAGCCTGCCAGGAGTTGCCATGCCAACTGCTTGATCCTGGAAGGCGCTCACTTTTCTCATAGAAGTCAGAAGTTGCTGAGGGAGGGATTTGTTTTCAAAAATCACCTAAGTGTGCAAAGTTCATGTCTTTCAGTGGCACCGGTGTGCCTAAGTGAGGTGCTTTTGAGAATCCAACCCTGAGTGCTTAGCACCTTTCAAGATTGGGACTCTGATTTGCGCAGGAATTGTTGCACACTCTTAAAAACCAAAATGAAATGCACCCGGCCCTATCTGCTGGTGCTTGTACAGTATCTGCTTTGCTTGTTTAGTTTCACCAGTGATTAATACTATAACTGATCAGCTGAGGCCCCTGAGTCCTGGTGTCCTACTACAACTAGGGTGACCAGTCAGCAAATGTGAAAAATCGGGACGGGGGTGGGGGGGGTAATAGGAGCCTATATAAGAAAAAGACCCAAAAATCGGGACTGTCCCTATAAAATCGGGACATCTGGTCACCCTAACTACATGTGTGATGGGAGAGATGTTATCCCTGCCCCTTCCTCCAAGGAGTAGAGATGATGTGTATTCAGCTAGCCATTTTTCCACTAGGTGGTCAAGATGTCTCTGATAACTACAAGTTTCCCACCCACTGATTTATTACGTGTCTTAAAGGGACACTGCTGGGTTTGGCAGCCCCACATTAGCTTGCTGTAAAGTATGTGATGGGCCTGATTCTGGTCCCATGTTGACATTACACCAGTGCAGCTCCATGGACATCTATAGAGTTGCTCCTGATTTACACCTGTGTATGTGAGAGGAGAGGATCAGGCCTCCCTAGGCATGTCTTGCATTGTCCAAGCTCTCCTCTGCTGACCTGTGGCTGGTCTCTTATTCGCTCTCCTTCATTTATTTGTGTAGATTTTGGAGCGGACGCTGGAACCAGACAGTTCGGATGAAGAGCCTCCTCCTGTCTACTCGCCCCCTGCCTATGATATGCATGTCTTTGACCGGCAGTATCCACAAGCTCCACCGAGCCCCCCTCCCAGGTAAGAGCCACGGTGTGGAGTCCACCCAGCATGAGTCCACTGCTTCGCAGGAAAGAGCCAGGAGCAAGCTTGTTCTGGGTTACCGTAATGGGGAGCCTCTAGTGTTGGGGTCACACTCTGAATCTCGAAAGGACACTGTTGGGGTGGAGCAAGTGCATTTCAAGATGTTTATCTCACTGCCTGTAGTTTCCTTTTATAGACTGGAGTGGATTTGTTTCCTTAACAAAAGGTTTTATCTCCCACCCATATACGAGTGTGCTTGGGAATGCCAGGCTATGCATGTTGGCTTGCTGCTATAGGGATAGTTGGGAGGGCCGGGCCACATAGGCTGGCGCATTGCTGAGCTTGAAATGGTAGTGAATCAAACCCACAGGATTAGGAACACCAGTTCATAAAAATGAAGCAAGATAGTAGGTAACAGAAACACCAAGCTGCTTTCTTTTGGGGCTAGTGATGATGTTGTGTACACTGCCTTGTGGAGGAGGCACTGGTGACTAAGAGAAGTGCGAAGCACTAGTGATGGGGATTCTGACAGCTCCAGGAACCTCGCCTCATCAGTGGGGATGTTTACGACAGGAGGGCAAAAATTGGAACCATTTATCTTTGAGCCTGATCTTTGCAGGAGGGGCAGGACGGGTCTGGATCTAAACCGCACCAGACGCAAAATCAAAACCTGGATGAGCAAAGTTTAGTGCAATTGCAGCACAAATTTTTTCACCCTTCCTGTAGTCACAGTAGGTTTTGATGGCATGTTCCACCAGAAGGGGTGAAAGACTGTCCTGCAGCCTACTCCCTCAGGATAGAAAGCTTAGCATGAATGGAAAAGAACCATCCTTTCTCCTGTATTGCTAATTAGATGGGCTTGCACACCATTCAATACACTGTCCTTGCTGCTGTCTGCCATATATTCTATTTCACCATGTTGCTTTGGCCAGAGGTCGAGTGTTTTTGAAGGGCAGATGCGCCAGACACATTCCGAGGCTGCACAAATGGCTTCGCTGCGTTTTGGCTGGCCTCTTGTGGGGTCGGCTGGTGAGAGTTAATTAAGATTGGGTGAGATAAAGCCAGAGGGGATGAATGAAGATCACAGCTGGGTGAAAATGTCTGCAAGGCTCTAGAAACCCAACAGCTGAAAGGCCCAGAAAATAACTCGTGGATTGAATGGAATGTCAAAAATTAGCTAAAAGAGGTGAGCTGTTGTTTCATCTAAACAACAGCAGGTGGTTTCTCTCATTGAGCCTGTTGCTATTCATCACTGAAAACAAAGAGATTTTATAGTCAGAAAATCTAGAGTAACAGAGATGATGGCTATAGAAATTGCACATATGTCTTTAAATGTAGACAGCCCACTGCATTCCTCAGGCACTAAAGCCAGACTTCATTCATTGTTCAATATGTCCTAGCAATCAGTTATCACATACTCAGGAGTAAAATTTGACCATAACCTGACATGCCGCGCTTGCTGGGAACACCCGAAAATTAAGATCTCTTCCTGTATCGCCTTGATGCAAAAACTATCGGGAACCTCCTGGGGAGCAGACCCTTTGGTCCTTCATACATCTGTCTCTGGTGTTTGCTCCAGCTGAAAACTGCTCTATGGTCTGGGGTGAAGCTGCTACGCTTAGGTTGTCTACATGGAACTGAATTTGGCCACTTGTATTATTAGTGGCTGCTTGAATTATGCTCCAGTCTGTGTTAGGGCACGTTGTTCTGGCAGACCTTCGACAAGATGCCATGACTGTCCAGTCTGCCTGGAGAGCTGTGACAGGTGAAAATCAACCGATTACATTTCCGGGTAACTGATGCCCCATTTTCAAACAGGAAACAACTTGCAGCACCAACTCCAAGTTCTGCTTACATTCAGGGGAGGAATTCCACTCCTGCAGATGGGTGTGAGAGACAGTGGCTGATCTCTTGACACTCCTTTGCTAAAGCAGCTCACCCACTGCTGGAGAGGAGTACTACTGGCCCTTTACCATGTGTGGATAGTCAGCACCACAAGGCAGCTGAAAACTAGGTTCTTACAGAGTGGAAGCATCGGTGGGAGAGAGAGTCTAACACACTGAGTAAATTCAGGAGTCCATCGCTGCACCTGCCTCCTTGTCCACTTAATCGTAGATCCTGGACCAGCCTCAACAGGGTACACTCTGGCTCATCCAGAGTAGCCGCAACCATAGACAGGCATGCATTTCCTCCATGTGCTGTGACTGTGGAGCAGTGTTGCAGACAATAACTCATGTGGTGGAAGTGTGCCCAACCCAACATCTGGAGGGTGATTTACCCCTTGCCTCCTATGATACAGAGGCTATGCTTTGCTTACGAACCTGGATTGAGCTCTGTCATCTGCATATGAGAGGAGGAGGAGCAATCGCTAAATTGTACTGTGGATTAGACGAGCTTATAATGAACTGGCCAGTAGGTATGTTCAAGTTGTAATAGTTGTCCACTGACCTAATAGATATGGTGGAATCAAAAATGCTAAATGGTGTAATGAGCCCTATACTGCTGAGAGCTCATTGAGATTCTCCCTTAGCTCGGCTGGAAGAGGCTTGGACTTCTGGAGCAAGAGGATCCAAATTTTATCCCTCTTGTTGCTGTGATGTTCTGAGTGGCCATGGGATGTGTATCACTGTGACAACTGGGGAGTTCCAGCTGGTCCGGGATTTGATAAATTTTCATAGAGCATAAGGCCAGAAAGGACCACTAGATCATCTGAATATCATAGGCCATTAAACTTCATACATTTACCCCTGCATTGAGCCTAGTAACTTTGCTTGGCTAAAGCCTATCTTCCAAAAGGCATCCAGACTTAATCTGAAGACTCAAACCACCACTTCCCTTGGTAGTTTGTTCAAACTTACTGCTAAAAGTGGCCTGTTTTCTAACTGAAATTTATCTGGCTTCCACTTCCAACCATTGTTTCTTATTCTGCCTTTCTGACCTAGATGAAAAAGCCCTTTTGTAGCTGGTATTTCTCTCTGTGAAGGCACTTAAATATATATTACATTTGTGGTGTCTTTTCTGTCTCTAGTTTCCATTATTCTGTGATATACTAACAGGCTATCCAGTGCATCTAGGCTAGAAAAGCTTAGTTTTCCCCATAAAGCATAATACTGATATATATGTGTGTGTGTTTATGTATATGTGTGTATGTGTGTGTGTGTGTGTGTATATATATATATATATATATATATATATACATACACATATACATATATACATAAACACACACATATATATAATAGAGATGATCAAATAGCTTATCAGTGCAACCACACACCTGTTTGCTATATACTGTAACTCTGAAATCGCCTTTTTGGAATACCAGTGGCTGTCCTCCTGGGGTTCCGCGCAGAGGTGCCAGCACATTACTGACCTGAGGGCAGCCTTGACAATTGGCAGAGAGCCCGAGGGCTGCGCCTGGTTTGTACAAAATGGATTTATCCAGCTAGCTCATCTTTCACCGTGAAGGCGGCACGGGGCACGCTGGTTTTGACCCAGCATTGTGTGCTGGGATCTGTAGTTGGGTTGACCCTTTTCTGCTGGTTCAATAAGATCTGCAGCTGCTAAGGAGGCTAGCTTAGGAGAAGCAGGCTCCCCTAAAGAGTGTGGCTGTGAAGGGTCAAGTGATGCAATTCACTGATGTAGAATTGTCCTGGTGGTGGAGGGAGAAATATGCTCTCCCTGTTCCTTTAGTCAAACCCAAACACAACTTGATTCTTCTCCGGCTGATTCCTGCTGTCCCTCCAGCGCCTGTGCAGGATGGGTACAGTCAGAATTTGAAAGGGAAGTTCCAAAGTGGGAGTTGCCTGGGAAGAGGCTTTTATTTGTTTTCTTCCCCGTGTGTAAGTAGTAATGAAGACATGAACATTCACACGCAATCATCATCGCCTCCTGCCACCTCTGCTGACTTTTATGCTTCACTGCAAGCCCTGAAAATAAAATCCACAGCTCCTGAGCTCTTAGAGAAAGCAATAAGTTCTTTCCACGTCAGCACGAAATCTGCCAGAGTGGAGCTCCTCACCTCCCTCCTCATCTCTTCTGCCCCCTGCCAGCTTTGTGCCTTCTTTCAAGCTGCCCTGTACTCCTCTCAATTAACGTACACCAGGCCCCCGCTGCCCCAGCTTCAAACAGCTCCTGGAAACCTGATAACTAAGAGCATCCAGACTCTGCTCTGTGTTTGTTCTCAGCGTTCTGCCTGCCTCCCGGTGCCTGTGGGTTGTTAGCTCTTCAGGACAAGGATTCAGTTCTTTGAGCAGTGCATCTTGCTTTGGGTAAAGCACCTTGTATGCTGACTTTGACCGATAAATAATAACTTCTCCTGGGAGGCTGTTAATTGGGGAAATCCTTGACACAGAGGCCGAGCCTGTCCCACATGTGGGGAGATTTGGAGTTTGGGGTGGGAGGGGAGGGGCTGAAGATCCCAGAAGAAACTCCCTCCCCCAGAAAATGCAAAATAAAAGAAGCCAATTTCAAACTCCCAGAAATGCAGGCAGCACCACTCTAGCAGTGGGTTCAATTAGGCTGTGGAATAGCCTCCCCAAGGAAATGGGGTCCAGTGCTCAGGGCGTTTAAAACTAAGCATTAGGAAAGATACAACCGGGGGACAGTCCTGGTCGTGGTGACCTAATGGGTCTCTTCTGTGTCTGCGTTCTGTGATTCTGGGGAATGCTCTGGCAAATAGCCCCATCAGAACTCCAGAAAGAATTGACCAGTGCAAATGAAAGTATTAACAGACTGATAGGCAAGAAATGGCTGAGCAGGAAGGTTCCATGTCACATTATCCAAGTGTACATATAGGGGAAGATAGAAGAAATGGTGAGCAAGGCATGGTCCGTGCACCCAGAATGTGATAAAGGGCTGAGGATACAGGCTACCCATGTACCCAGACTGCCTGCTGTGATGGGTTAGATCACGGAAACCCCCTTGGGACTGCCATCTGATGTGTTGAGACTACCTCTGAGCCCGTTTTCCCTGCCAGGAAACCTTGCCTTGTTTGAGCCAGACACGCTTGCCTGCTGCAAACACAGGCCCTCGGTCTGAACATCCCCAAAAAGCTGCAGGCTTAACTGAAAACAGCTTAAGAAGTGTTTCTGTCTCCAACACCCAGATGCCCAGTTCCTAATGGGGTCCAAACCCCAAATAAATCCGTTTTACCCTGTATAAAGCTTATATGGGATAAACTCATAAATTGTTTGCCCTCTATAACACTGATAAAGAGGTATGCACAGCTGTTTGCACCCCCCACCCCGTATTAATACATACTCTGGGTTAATTAATAAGTAAAAAGTGATTTTATTAAATACAAAAAGTAGGATTTAGGTGGTTCCAACAGACAGAACAAAGTGAATTACCAAGCAAAATAAAATAAAACATGCAAGTCTTAACCTAATACAGTAAGAAAGTGATTACAGATAAAATCTCACCCTCAGATGTTTCAATAAGCTTCTGTCACAGACTGGATGCCTTCCTAGTCTGGGCTCAATCTTTTCCCCTGGTACAGCCCTTGTTCCAGCTCAGGTGGTAGCTAGGGGATTTCTCATGATTGCTGCCCCCTTTGTTCTGTTCCACTCCCTTATATATCCTTTGCACAAGGCGGGAATCCTTTGTCCCTCTCTGGGTTCCCACCCCTCCTTCTAAATGGAAAAGCACCGGGTTAAAGATGGATTCCAGTTCAGGTGACATGATCACGTCACTGTAAGACTCCAAGCCCTCATTCCTCCCAGCCTGACTGACAGGAAGGCCTGCAAGCAAACAGAGCCATCCACTGTCAATTGTCCTGGTTGATGGGAGCCATCAAGATTCCAAACCACCATTAATGGCCCACACTTTGCATAACTACAATAGGACCTCAGAGTTGTATTTCATATTTTTAGTTTCAGATACAAGAGTGATACATTTATACAAATAGGATGACCACACTCAGTAGATTATAAGCTTTGTAATGATACCTTACAAGAGACCTTTTGCATGAGGCATATTCCAGTTACATTATATTCACACTCATTAGTATATTTTCATAAAATCTCATAGAGCGCAATGTCACACCTGCCATCCGCATACAGCACTGATAGTGATGCCTAGGGTGCTGTCAATTCACATTCACAGGTTCCATTTGCAGCCTGTGTTCTTCACCCATTGCTGAAGCAGACAGATTTGACATGCAAAAGAGTCGGCTGCAACTTCCAGCCTTACAGCAATTCAGTGGTAGGTTTAGCACAGAGCAGGTCAAAGGACTTCTTGGTTAGTGATGTGCCTTCTGCTCTGTAGTGGCCATTACAACACTGCAGGGGTCACTTCCATTTGGCTCTTGAACTTCACCCTCTGGCCAAATCTAACCGTCAGCAGTTACCCCACAGGGGCTTGTTTTCCATCCTCTTTCAACGGGACTGAAACAGACAAAACTTCACTTCATGTTATCCTTAAAGGTTGCCATACCCAGTCACACCACTTGGCTTATCAAGTCTTGTATCCTGCCTCAGCTCTGGCCCTATGCCTGAGGGTTTTAAGGAAGCAAACACTGCCCTTCTCTTCTCTTCCTCCCTTCCGCAAAGGAACGCTCCCGGGCAATTATGCAATGCTGCACTTTGTGAGGTTGAGTGGGTGTGATTTACATAGTTAAGGCATAACCCTCTCAGTGTTGCCAACTCTCACAATATTTGGTGATTTTCTTAAACCTCAGTGCCTTGTGTCATTATCTGAGAATCTTGAGTAACAAAACAAAGTGTAAATGTCCAGCAGAGGAAAGTTTGAAAATGTGATGACACCAAAAGGCTCAAAAACTCCACGGCAAATAAAAAGACCCCCAAATTAGTTACTTTAAAATTATTTTTAAGTCAAGCTTGTGATTTTTGGGGGAAAGGAGATGATGGCTGATGTGATTTTTTGAATGCTTGAGGTGGGCCCTCAATTCCTAGTCAAGTCAGTGGGAATCGAGGGCACTCATGCCTTGAGGAGCTGGGTTCTTAGAGTTTGCAGAGTGAGCCAGAATGCTGAAATGATTGCTTTCTCATCTCGGTGTCTTTTTTTCCATGGCCAACAGGATTGATGTACCCAATTCGAGTGGCCCTCAGGTGCACAGACGGTACAGGAACTGGAATCCACCATTACTAGGCAACCTTCCTGATGATTTCCTTCGCATCCTACCCCAGCAGATGGACAGTGTGCAGGTGGGAGGAGAATATGTTCAACTATATAGCACCTAGACTCCTTATGGTGACAAGTTCAAATCCTAGCAGGGCTGGTTCTGTCCTTCATCTTTCTGAAGTAGATTCACTGAGCAGTGCATAGATTACCATGAAGGGGCATTTCCAGTGAAAACCTAGTGATGCTGTGAGATTAAATTCATCCCAAAATGTAAGAGGTGCCAAAATCAAATTTTTTACAAACCTGTAGAAATATCAGAACTTAAAATTCAGCTATCAGCCTTCTCCTATAGGGTTTACAACCCTAACTTTGCAGCAGGTGTGGCCTTTTAAGTATAGACAAGGCCTCTGGCTTCCAAGATGCATCATGGCAATTTTCATAGGAGTAGGCATTTGACTGGGCGTCCCTGGCCAAAATTTCCCTTGTCCCCCTCTATTATACAATATGTTGCAGACTGGCTGGCTGCTGCCCTCCTACCCCAGAGGTAAGCTTCATTTTAATGGTGCCATATAAATTAGGGTTTGTGAACTGCCTTTGGACTTCTGCATCAATACTTCCTTAGCATGGTCCTAAAACTCTATAGCTAGGCATCTCACAGTGTATCAATTTATGCATCTTGACAGAGTTGCAATAGGGAGCTGTCTCCTGCAAGAAGCAAGAATGACCACTGAGCCAACTACTCTCAGACCTAAATGCAAAGCGTATTTCTTCCACTTAGCTTTCCCACAGTATTTTCTCTGCCCACCCAACTCCCATGTATATAAACAAGCAAACAAACCCAGACCTTAAGATGTCTCTCCTATAGGCTAGGAAAGGCGAGACAGAAAATGCAATGAAGGGGGCTAAATTATAAGTACCCAGTTAGACAGCTAGATTCTTCCCTTCCCTTTTGGCTCCGAAGGCACTTCTGCCACAGTTTCATAAATTATTGCCCTGGAGCTTCATCTTGTCAGGCTATATTACCTTTCTGGGAATAGAAAGCTGCCTGTTCACTGGGCTCTGGGGGAAGAGATGTCCTGGTGCCTTTTTCCTTCTTCAGGAATTGTAGGCTATTGCATTTTATGGCCCTCTGAGACCAGATACAAATCAGATAAATATGGTAGGCAAGGTGAGATTGCTACTGGATGGAATGTTTCTCCTCCTTCCTATTTTGCATGCACAGATACATGCACGAGCAGGGAAATGAGATATAGAGGATGTTAGGATTTGTCTCCGATAGTGGAATTTGTCAGATGGTAAATTGCATTTTCAGCCGTTAGATGGGGAAAATAAAAGCTGGGCCACTTTGGCTTCCCTCAGTGAGAGGCTTTGCACTTCTCCCCATGTCAAAGCCAGGTTCAGCCCTGGTTTGATATTGATTTAGCCATCAGAAGAACGCTGATGATTAATTCTTGTATTTAAAGTGAGGCTCTGACTATAAAAGTGGTTTCATGGGATTCCATGTTCATTGTGACTTTCTGATTTCCAGATTAGATGTTCTCAGATTCCAAGTTAAAAAGAAAAAACACAAACTTTTTCTCCCCAATAGCCAGCCCTGCTGACTCAGCCTGAGATCTGAGCGTCAAGCTGGGTACTTCCCTTTTCACACATCACTAGCAATAAAGCCAGGCCAAACTAAACCCTCATTGACTCCCATGGTGTAGCCTGATTGCCTTCAGTAAGTTTGCACATGTGTAATTGATTGGAACTTGGTAAATACTTCTATTGGTGATGCTCAAGGAGGAAGAGAATCTAGCTCACTATCCCACAGCTGAGTTGGCTCTGCTGGGCTGGCTGAGAAATACAGCCGAGGAAAAATGTATGCACCATATAGTCAGCATATCTGCTGCTGATTTTGCTTGGGAGCAAATATGTTGGGGAAGAGAGTGCCTTTTTCACAGTTGCTTTTCCCAGTAGAGATTTTCACTTTAACCAAGATCAGGGTTGAAGCCCTTTGGTAAGGCTGAATTACAGAGGGGAGTACAGCCTGCTGTTGACCAAACTGTGCTGATTCTGTTGATAGATGGGGACCTTTAATCTTCAATATTGATATTCCAGCACCTTTCACAAGAGTTAAAACCTTGATTCAGCAAAGCACTTATGCTTCAGTGTCATTGAAGTCATTGGGACTTAAACACTTGCTCAAGTGCTTTGTTGAATCCCGGCTTACAGTCACACACACTGGTTACTGTAATGAGCTGCTCAGGGCCTTCATTGACTCTTCCTTTATGTCACACGCTTGTCCAGAGTTCACAAAGTTGCCATCAGACTGTGCCGGGCGAGGGCAGCCAGAGATCCCAGGGCACGTTGGACCAAGAGAGGAAGTGGAAACAGTACCTGGAAGATGAGCGAATTGCGCTCTTCTTACAGAACGAAGAGTTCATGAAGGAGCTCCAGAGGAACCGGGATTTTCTCCTGGCCCTTGAGAGAGGTGATAAGCCATTTCAGAGACTTCTGTGTATGCTTTTCATATGCTTGAATTCCTCCTTTGCTGCAACTTCCAGCCCTTGGGTCTCATTTTCCATTGCCCTACACCTTGTGTCATCATTTACACCAATACAAAATGAGTGAAAAATGCAACTACACCACAATGGCAACGTTTTCCTCCCATGTTGCACTTCTGCTGCATTGGTGTAAATAACTTGAGGGTGCAGTGCTATGGAGACTCAGACCCATTGGAAGCAGATGGCAGGGGCACTTTCTGGTCCTGCTAGCCTGGCTTGGGAGTCTTGCTCATGGGTCTCCTAACTCTGCAAAGTCCTTCCATCTTCCCCACCAGTTAATACCCCTTTCATGACCATCAGACCTATAGAAGCATTGGGTGAAATCCTGGCAAAACTCCCCTTGACTTCCGTGAGGCCACAAATTTAATCTATTGTCCTCTGATCCCTCCTCCCACCTCTTCCAAAAGACCTAGACAAAACACTCCATCAGCTGTGATTGGTCTCCAAAGGTTGGGCTTTATCATTACATCCTTGTTCCCCCTCCCCCGATATTGCTGTTTTGATTATTTCCCTTTTAACCCTCTCTGCCTACAAAAAGGATAATTCTACTAGGGTTTGGTATATGATCACCTCACTCTTTTAGCATTGTAACCTCTGTCACTGTAAAATACTGCTGGGTTTCCCAGAACTTCTCACCACCTTCTGTCTAGCGTCTCTTGCTAGCTGTTCTCAGCAGCTTTTCTGATGACACTACAAGGAGAAGTTCAGTGGTTTTGGTGACTTGAGGTCTCTTGAATTATGAGCCAGCCCTTGCCAGTTCCTCTCTGCTCTGTCACTTTAATTCTGAACACACAGGCTAATATATTCCCATCTGGCTTATCTCACCAATCATGGTATTTGTCACTCACAGGTCTCACTCTTGGTTTGGGAAAGCTCATCCTAATGCCTTAATTTAAATGCTCAGCCTCCTGTCCATCACAGCCAGAAAATCAGCTGCTCACTTACGATTTTCATTTTCTCTCCTTTGCCATGGTAAGACTAGCATTTTCCAGCCTGCTTCTCTAATCTCTGTCATTAAAACATGGGTGGTGCATGAAGCTTAGGTGAACGAATAGAAACCACAAAATACAACACAGTGTCGCACCTACATGGTGATTAAGGGCTATGTGATACATTTCATTCATTGTGCATCTTAGATTGCCTTGCCTACAGCTCCACCTTGAATCGTCTGCCCCAGGCCTGCTCCAATGTTCTGAACCTCTGAGCAGCTTTGGACAGACAGCATTCTTTGTTTTCAAAAAGCAGTTCAACAGAGAAATATTTCCATCTTTCCGTGAATATCTGGGATTGCCCCTCAGTGTTACACTAGCCCTATGTGTTGGATTGCCACTGTTACTTCTTCTGAGAGGTTTCAACTGGTGCCTTATACTATTGATTGAATACATATATAGTGAATATATGTTCAGTGTATATAACATAAGTAGAGAAAGGCGCACATGCTGAGTTAACTTGGCTACTGGTACCTCAGGCTTTACCTTGCCTGACTTTTTACTGAACATTGCAGTAGCACAACTTTCTGTACAAAATAAATGCGCACACACACACTGTCCAACAGGTCCACCCAGCCTTTGAAATACTCTTTCTGGAGCAGTGTTCTTCAAGTGAGACTACAGCCCAGTGGGTTTTGCACCTCTCAAAGATGTTCATACCCACTGTGCTCTAGCTGTCTGATACTTTCAGAGGGAACAGTTGTAAAGGAAATGGGATTGCATTTGTTGCTTGACTGCCTTGTATGTTGGTTTTGAAGGGGTCTGAGCTTATACTCTTGGGATTGGGATGTGGAGGCACAGAGTTACCACCAATTAGCTTTATGCTTTACATGTGCAGAACGCTAGCATTCGGAGCCTGCGGCAGTGTTGGGGGCACAGTTCACTTCCTCTCTTGATTTCTCAAGCATTGTGCAGCCTCACTTTTCCTCTGAGGCAGAGGGACACAGTGGAGAGAGCATGTGCTGTCCAGCGCAGCAAAAAGACTGGAAAGCACTTGCCCAGTTTTCTTGTGCTATCACTTATTGCCAGCTGGGATCCCGCTCCTCAACAGAACAGCAGACAGCACTTCAGACCGCGTTTGCTCACTTTGCTGACAGATGGAACCCAGAACAAAGCAAACCAGGCTGGGACTGCAAACTTGGAGCAGGCAGCATTGAGGGCTAGCTTAACTGCACTGCTTCAAAACAAAGCTGCACATTTGGGATCCAGATCTCAAATGCCCCCATAGTTTTAGATTAGGAAAGAGCCTTCAGCCCCAGGGTCTTTATTCAGCCTCACTATAAAGAGAGGTGCCTATCTGCAAAATCTGACCCTGGATCTTGATTTAACATACCCAGCATTAGAAGATGTGTTGATCTGGGGTTGTGATTTGTCTTTGAATCCATATTTTCAGAAGCATGAATATCCTCTTCTGACGCCATCAGAGATGCATGCAGTTAACAGACACGAGCATTATTACCCATTAGTTTTTAATCTTTTCCTGACAAGAGTTGTCAGCTTTTGAAAGTAAAACCATACAAGCCAATTTCTTTAAGTGTATTTCATCTTGCTGGTGACATACCAAGTTTCTGAAAATGCTCTCACAAATTATACATCAAGTCCAGTCACAATATATGGCAATTAATTTCAGCTCACGCTATACTTTGGGCCTGATTGTCCAGAGTGCTGATCACCTGCAAGTTCCTATTGACCTCAGATGGAGTCAGGGGTACTCAGCATTTCTGACAATCAGGATGCTCTTAATTGGGTGCCCACATGTGGATTTAGATGTCTGCCATTTAGAAACCTAAGTCTGAGCATTTTTTGCCTTAGTTGATTATATTAGGATGGTCACATTTTTGTGCTATTTCTTTTCCATTCAAAAACCCAGCCTCTGGGTGAAGCAGATGCTTGCTCAGTGATTTGGATTCCACTGAGCCCAGCCAGCCCAATTGACTTCCTGTTTGTAACAATGCTATTGATGGGTCTCAGTCCCAACTCCCGGCTATCCAGCCCCACAGTGTGGTCCCTGTAGGGATCAGGCACACTGGCAGAGCAGTGTGGGGAAGCTGGCTCTACTGCCTTCCAGGCGGTACCTACCCTGTGGATGGAGGACTTCAGCCTTCTGGGCTGTCCGTTCTGCCCCTTTCATAAACCATCAAAACAAATTTAAGATTAAGAAAAAAAATTTCCCCCTCTCCTGCCCCAGACTCCCTTCCTCATTCCAGACCTTGTTACGCTGAAGCTGTAAAACACCCTTGGCAGTGAGTGCAATGTAATGCCTGGCTAGGTCGAGGAGAATGGAATAAATGATTCAGGGTTCCAGGGCTAATTGAATGTTTTTTATTTTTCAGATCGACTGAAGTATGAGTCAAAAAAATCCAAGTCGACCAGTGTTGCCGTCAGTAACGATTTCAGCTTTTCTTCTATACAACCAGGTAATTTACAAGCCGTGCATGAGCACATGATCACAGAGATCTCCTGGCAACTGCTCTCGTATTTCTAAGGCTTCTGCCATTGCGTTGTCTGCAGAGGGCCACACTGCGGGTAGGTCTTCGCTGAAAAAAAACAAGTGTATTCTAACCCAAATTAGCCAGCTTGGGTTAAAATAGCAGTAAAGACGTGCCAGCTTGGGTAGCAGCTCAAGTTCAGCCCCAGGCTGCTTTATCAGTTTTAAGTCGAGCTGCTAACCCAAGTTAAAAGCTAAGCTGCCGTATCTTTACTGCTGTTTTAACCAGAGTGAAGAACACACCTTTTTTGCAGTGGAGACATACCTTGTGACAAGAATGGCAGAGGGTGAAAACCTTCCTTTTGGTGGCTATTGACACCAAGCCCTTTCTCCGCTCCAAAATGTCTTATGTTTGGGGCTGGAAAGGAATTCTCCCCCTGGGGGTATCGGCAGGGACGTTGCAGGAGACTTCTGATGACTGTAAAAATAGTGTGATGTGAGTAGAAGTTATGGGGGAGATTTTCAGAGGCACAAAGGGAAGTTGGGCCAGCCAGTGGGAGTTGAGCCCCTAACTCTTGTCTTTGCTTGGAAAATCTCCCCCTTATGTTTCCTATCCTGCAGCAGAGAATTTCTGTTTTCTCTCAGTTGCCGGAGCTGCTGGGAATGGGCAAAATGACCCAGAAAAGGGTGGCACACCTTTTGCCAGCCTCTTTGCTACTTCCCCTTGCCTACATGACACTGTATTAATAGCGCCTGCGTTGTCACAATCCCTCAGCACTCACAAAGCTTAGGTTCCAGTCAGGTTGCAATAAGGAGACAGTAAGATGCCGTTTTCTACTCCGCTCTCTCTTCTGCCCTAGGCCTAGAGTCCAGCACATGCCTCAAGCTTTGATCAAATGAAACTTGGAAACCATCATTGCTTCTACACTGGCCCAGGGCTAAAAGAGTCCTCATCATTCTCCTTCCTAGTCCTTTTCTCTCTTGCTGCGCATGGCTATGTAGATTTTGCTTGGGAGTGGAGGTAGAATGAAGAGAACTCTGATCTAGTTCCCAAGTATAACAAAACATGCCCTTGTCTAGCCCAGGAGCCGGGGATCATGCCTTGCAGGCATACCAACTATCTGAGTAATCTTGATTAACCTTAAGGACTGCATAGCAGCTGCCCCCAAAGGACAGAATTAGCATTGGTGTCTGTCAGTATCTTCATCTACAGAGCAGGACACGGCGAATGGAGCTATTCATCGAGGCTTGACGTGACGATTTTGGCTAAGGTTACGGAATTTCAATTGTGCCCAGATTTGATAAAGGGGGTGGGAAACACAAGGATACGATTAACAAGGAGCTGTGACTCACCCAGCTCAGCTGCCTGCACTAGTACAGCTGAGACTTCTAAACTTTCTCCATTCTTAATTAACTGTCTGTGTCATCATGGTAATGCGAATGATCTTGGAGCATGATCTAATAACCAACTGAGAAATAAAATTAGCAGATTGGGTGACTTGGAATCACTTTCTCTCAAAGAAGCAAGAGGCTTTTTGTTCAGCAGAGGGCTTTTTTTTTTTTTTTTTTTGGTATGAACAGACATCGATAGACGGGGCCTGATTCTGCAGGGCCTTGCACTTTGTGTAGTCATTTTGCTTTCACTCCTGTGCATCCATTGTGCACAGGAGTGAAAGCTGCCAGGTCAGAGTGGTAGCACCTACAGCTGCTCTGCATTCATTCTGCACAGGTAGCAAAGTTGTAGAGCACTGGAGATTCAAGCCCACAGGCAGGCAGAAATCACCCATAGCTCTGTTGAAATCAACAGAGCCACAGCTGTAATCTCTTATCTGTAACCCTTTTAAAGGGAGGACTGTACTGGAAGCAACTGAATGTGGAGGGTCACTTTGATCCCAAGAGGCCTAGGTAGCACTGTACCTGCTGACCTCCATCCCGTCTCCCGTCCAATCTCCCCTCCCCCAGAATCCAGCCTTGTCTGCATCTCACCTGGCTTGTCTCATTGAGACAGAACAGACTATCCCTTTGTGCACTAGGAACTGTTGGTAATTTCTCCCTGGTCTCCATCTTTTATGTGTGCTCTTTTCTTACTCTGTCTTATTCAGACCAGGACAGAGATGCTTGCCAGCTGCTTTGTGGCAGGGCCGCTGTTTCACTGGAGCTGGAATTGGGTCAATGGTGATGATTCAGCTTAGATTCTCCGCACACCCTGCTCCACCCCTACAAACCCCTAGTGACCAGATTTTTGCATTTCAGGTGACATAGCCCCTGTAACCAGCGAGGCCAGCAGTGCTGTGTCTGAAGATGCCTTATTCAGGGACAAATTGAAACACATGGGAAAATGTGAGTTTGTTTCTAGGTTCCATATTGGCAGAGGGAAGGCTGCATGGCAGTAGGTGGGCAGGCGGAGGAGGTGAAGCAGTAAGGATTCTTTAGCACTGAATCTAGTGCTAAGGCATTTTTCTGCTAAAGCACTCTGCATGCGTGTGTGTGTGTGTGTGTGTGTGTGTGTGTGTGTGTGTGTGTGTGTGTATGCATGTGCAAGCCAGTACCCGGGTATGCACAGATCTGCGAAGATACAGGATTCTTACCTCCCCTCCAAGCCTCAGAAGTTATTCATGTTTGTCAAGCCACCCCATGATTCTAACAGGGCAAGGCACGTTTAGCTGGGAGTTGAGCTTTTGATTAGAAGGGGCTTTAATGCGTTGTGCTGTGTAAGGCTGCATTAAGCCTGGCGAAGATGAACTAGGAGTATCAAATAGGGAAATCCAAATTGCACTAATCCATCTCCAAAGCCTGGAGCAGATTGGGGTTTGATTTCCATTTGCCTTCTGTAATCCTGGACTTCTGGGTCCTCTGCCCCACACTCTGTGCCCATCTGTGCTTTCCTTCTGCCTTGGGTGCAGCCCTGGTCAGAGATGGACCAACCTCCCCTGTGCCAGTTGTTTCAAACTTATGAGAGAGCTTGGTTTTGAGGAAGCTGCCATGGTAGCAATGCTGGGTGGGAGATGCGTGTCTGACTCCTGGTCTCCTGCTGCCTGTCCAGTGAGTGCCTAGGTGTTGCATTCTGGGTAACCTCAGCAATGTTGTTGATGGGCTTCACAGGAATCCCCCAACCACACTAGCCATGCTAGGCTCATTGCCCTATTTCTTTCCCAGGCTCACCTCGGTGCAGTGCTGTGCCAGGAATGCCCTCTGCATCCGGAGTCACCAAGCCACTCCCCTTTCCTCAGCACATGCCTTTTCTGGACTCATTCCTCCCACAGTGCCAACAGGAAGGGCGTTAATAAGAAAAGCAAAACTTCAAGATGTTTCTTCCTCTGAGCTTCCCAGCACTTTAATAATATTTGCCTTCCCATAGTACCTGGGAGCCCCCGTCACAGACCAGACCCCCACTGTGTTAAGTGCTGTACAAACAAGAACAAAGGGACTGTCCCTGTCCCCAAAAGCTTCCACTCTAGGCCTGCCTTCCATGTTTCTCTCTCTCCCAGACCCTAAGCTCACTGGGGCAGGGACGGTCTTGTACAGCACTGAGGACTTTGTCAGCACTTAGCCCCATCTGTCTAGGCTGGGGATGAAAGTGGGGATGATACCAGATCTCCAGCAAGCAAATGGGTTAAAACAGTAAAGGGGGAGGGAGGAGGCCATGCTGTAGGCTCCATCGCTCATGAAGAGGGGGAGCAGCACTGCTCCCTGAATGAGTTTATTCTTCAAGTGGAATCGATTTTTCTTTTCTTCCCACCCCACCCCAAAAGATGACAGATGCGGCTTGGATGGATTTTCTCTGCCATTCGCAGGCAGATCAGTTAGGAGTCTCCTCCAGTAGACAAAGGCGATGAGTGGGGTTTTGCCATATATAGGTGCTGAAACTGGCTAAATTGCTCGGGCTGCTCTGACATCAGATCTGGCATGCTCCTTCATGCTGCAAGCCTGTGTGTATGCCTGTCTTCGATGTATGTATTGTAGGGCATGACTCTGTAACATGGATTGGATTGGGCTTCCTGGGAATAGAAGCAAATCCTTTCTAGCTTCTGTTTAAATAATAAAATAGAGGCTAGAGAAGGAGGGATTAATAGAGACTCTTCCCACTTTTTTTCTTTCTTTCCAGCAAGCCACAGGCTACTCTCCTGTTGTAAAATAAATTGGGCACCTCATGCAGTTTTGACTGACTCATGGGCCACAGTTTATTTGAGCTTTGTTTAGTGTGAGGGTGGGGGGGGGGGGGAGGGAGAGAGGGAATTTGGTTTAGTCATGGATGAAGAATGTCATGGAAATCACAATCAGAAAGTCTGAATAGTCAGACCTTTTGTGTAGTCAATTGAATCCTTCCTGCAGGGATCAAATTATATTCTTTCTGATCATTGAAACTAGTCCTAGTGCCTGGAAAGGTTTATCGGTCCTTGGTTTCCTAAGGCTAAGCAGTAAGGCATTGTGCATTCTGCATTTAAGCAGGCAAATTCATCTTGGTTCAGTCATCCCCTGCCCTGCAGCATGTAGAGGGTGAATCAAAGCCCCATCATCCCAAATGGATGGCATGGGAACTTGGCATCTATCATACTTGTTGTTTGCTATCCACTTTTGATGGCTGGTTAAGAGCAAGCCATTCACCTGCCTGTTTCCTTTCAGCTACACGCAAGAAGCTGTTTGAACTTGCCAGGGCTTTCTCAGAGAAGACCAAGATGAAGAAGTCAAAAAGAAAACACTTACTGAAGCATCAGGTGTATCCTTTCAGCATGTGACGCTGTCATCCCACCCCTTGATCACACTGAGCTTCCTGGGGATGAGTCCCAGCTCCCACAACTTGGAACAAAACTCTGCTGCAGAGGGCTCGAACGAGGCCTATGCCGGGATTCTCCACCTTGGGGTCATGGAACGGGTTAGGGGGACACAACCATTCTGACCATCCCATATTTCTCAATGGGGGAGGGGGAATTTTAACAGGATGGGTGGGGGGAGGATCCTGGCATGGGGAAGAGGTTTCTTGGTATAGACAAGGTGGAGAATCACTGGTCTATGCACCACTTAAATCTCGCTTAAGCCCTGAAACTAGGGCAAAGATTTGTGCATGTGGAAGGGAGCTATAGCTCAGGGAGAAAATGATGTCAGTAACCAAAAGGTACATGTTTGCAGCCTTCATGATCCAAGCCACAGCGAACATTCACGGCTCATCATGTATGCAAGTTTGGATCCAGCTCTGAACTTCCCTGAAGTCGTGGTGTGTTTGGAGCTGATATTCTGGTTTGAGCCCAGCTAAGAGGATTCATTTGTTGCTGAAGCCCCCTTGAAACTGTATTTTGTGGGCAGAGTTTCTCTAGTGGCATGTTAATTTCAAAAGCACATGTGCTAAATAATTATCATGCCAGTCCTAGGACACTGCTCAATACCAGTGATGCAAGAGAAACAGTGCTGGCGACTCATCCATCAGCTCTTCCTCCCCTTCTTTTCCATTTTCATTTTAGCTGGTACAAGGATAAAGACCTAGAGGTAAAAGGGCTTTGTTATCCCCAGACTCCTCTCCTTAGGGTGGCTGCGTTAATACTGTCCAAAGTATGTTGCCTTGGTACCTGAGTGCCACTGTCATGGCCTCCCTGATCCGTTATGACCCGGATCTCATGCCAGATAGCAGCAGAATGCAACTGGAAACATACCTGGGAACCACCTCCAACCCTTGGAGTCAATTGTGATGGGCTATTTGCAAGTCTGTGACTTATATCCCAGTCTGTCGAACATTTTCCTTAACAGAGAGTGCAGGATGGGGACAGCAGCTTCCACAGCTAATCTTCTCGATGACGTTGAAGGACACTCGTGCGGTAAGACAATGCTTGTTTCTGCTAGAGAGCAAGTCTCCAGCTGATTTGCCCACTGCTGTGGTGTGTGGGGGTATGTGACCCCAAATAGCAGGGGCTGCACACCAAAAATCGAGCCTCCTTCCTTGCAGATTCCTTCCTGCCTGTGACGCTAGCTGTTCGGAACCTGTTCCCTGAGTCGCCCTTTCCTAACGCAAAGAGCTAGCAGGCCTGGCCCATCCCTGTGGCTAATGTAGAGTGAAACAGGAATGGGGGAGCTCTCTCTGCACCAGGAACAGCATGGGGGAGCTCCCCCAAGCCAGAGACAGGATGAGGAACTCCCCCCACTTTTTAGCCAGGCTCCTCCCATCTCTCTTCATTTCAAACCTTGTACTGTACAACTGATACTTCTCCACCCGTGTCTTAACTCACCAAGGTATATGAATGAGGTTTGGGGTGAGCAGGCCCTTCCTCCTGGTCCCTTCCCCCATGTGTTCTGGCTGTTCAGCCCCCTGTTCTCTGTTAGTTCAGCTCCTCATCAGATGACGGGATCACCAAGCAAAACGAAGTAGGGCCTCCTTCCCCAAGGGCCAGGAACACCCTCTGTAGGTTCGGGTGGGTAACGCTCGCCATGGCTTTGCAACAGGCGTGCATAGATTTAACGCAAGGGTTCTCAAACTGGGGGTCGGGACCCCTCAGGGGGTCATGAGGTTATTACATGGGGGGTCGCGAGCTGTCAGCCTCCATCCCAAACACCGCTTTACCTCCAGCATTTATAATGGTGTTAAATATATAAAAAAGAGTTTTTAATGTATAAGGGGGGGTCGCACTCAGAGGCTTGCTGTGTGAAAGGGGTCACCAGTACAAAAGTCTGAGAACCCCTGATTTAACGGAAATGTAACCCAGTGGTGAAAGGTGTTGCATCAGCAGCCCCAAGACCTGAAGTCCACTATTTGTCTATAGGACAGCACATCAGCAGAGGCCTCTTCCCCTGACCCAGGAAAAGCACCACAAGGGGTGAGCGGGGGTACAGTCTCCATAGCCCATTCACACCAAGGCCCATCTGCTGAGGCAGCCAACCAAGGTGCCAGCTGCACAAGTGGGCACTCATGCAGTAGGAAATGGGCTGATACCCACCTACTCATTTCACGTAGGACATTGAACTGCCATTTAACAGTAGTGGCTTTGTTCACTGCTAGCCTGGGGCAGGTTTGAACCAACCAGTGAGCCAAGAATGACAGTCACCCATATCCTTCTGCAATTCCCAGCCCCTTCCAGTCCCCTGACACTGCTGCAGCTTTCCCACCCCAGCTTGTTTAGATACGGGAAGGATCTCCTGAAGTTCTGACCACACAGGTCTGTCTCATGCCTTTCAGATGAGGATTTCCAAGCAAGAAGGCAGCAGCTACACGAGGAAGAGGAGAGGCCGAAAGAAGGACAATAAATGGTAAGAAGTGTTTGAGGAGTAATGTGCAGCTAGTTACAGGAATCAGTTCAGCTATCCTGTTGCAAGCCCATCGCCACCCCGTCTCCCCCGACATGAGTTGAGTGATGTAGATTAGACAATTGGGCCAATGGACAAAGTGCCAGCCTAAGAAAATTCAAAGGATCCGTTGCATGCTGTCATGGAGAAAACAAGTAGCTTGAGCTTTTTACCCCTGGTGCTCCAATGCAAAGTTGGATTCAGCTGTTTGTTCTTCCCTGGCTTTCCCAGGATGGATTACTTCCTCTTGTTTCAGCTACAGCTGATAGCACCGGCCCCACAACATCCTTGATGCCTTAGGGTGAAAATCACAGTGCCTCAGAGAGGATGTGTGGAGTTTTGTGCTGTGTGTTAAGGATCTAGGTAGGTCTGTGCATAAAGCCTTGCACATGGGGCTTGCATTGGGGTGAATGTCACCCACAGGGACTTATTCTGCCATTGTTGTTCACACGTCTGCCCCTTCAGCCCCATTAATAGCTGCTGTGTGGATAGCAACAGGTACTTTGACCTTTGTACTGAAGAATGTAAGAGAAACTGTTGGGCCAATTCTTCCCTGTTCTTTGCCCTCCATGAAGAACATATGTGGGTGGACTCAGCATGAGGTTACTGATGAAAACCATGCAGAGGCTCCAGTATTCATGCCTGCCTCTTACTGAACTTGATGCATAGGGAATCCTTATGGGTTGTTTTAAAAACATCCAGTGCACAGTGACAGGCTTTGTTTCAGCACCATGAGTGAAGCAGCTTTGACTGAATACACTTCTTCCTCTCCCCCTCCCTGTCCTTCTCTTCTAGATCCCAGATCCACTGCCTGAACTGGGCTTTATTTGTTAAAGTCTTAAGAAGAAGATGGCTGCAAAGAAAAAACAATTTCCTTGGCTCCCCCCACTATCATCCTCTTCTAAAGTACAAGTATTAAAGTGAGGCACAATTTTTTCTTCCCAGCGGGTTTGAAAACACCTCTTTCCTATCCAGCAAATCCAGCCAAAAATCAGCAGCTGATCTGAATTTTTCTCAGTCACTGCAGTGAAGATAACGGATTTCAAGCTTGTGGGAATAATGACCTATCCCCCACCCTCTTTGATATAAACATGGTTTGGATATGAATTAAAAACAATAATAACAATAATACATTGAACAGCTGGGCTCTGGCTTGCCCATTTTTAAACATATCACTGTAGCAATCTGATGTAACTTTACGCACATAAAAAAAGACCTGAAAAATGTTGTTTATTGTTATTGTTATTAAGAGTTAATAAGCCAGGATCCAGATCAGGTAATAGGCAGGATAATATAAATTGTCTTTTTAAAAAGAAAAGGCCTTCTCCTGGGCATCTCACATTGAATTAAACCTTTGCCTCAGGCATTGATAAAAATGCCTTGAACTAGACACCAAGCTGGGGCCAGTTTCTCCTCCAGTGTACCACTTTCTCTAGCTTTGTGCTGCTGCTCTTGTGATATTATGGTACCTTTACAGAGCAGGAATGGGGGGCGGGGGAGGGCTGAATTTCAAAGCTGTTTAGTTCTCACTGCTTATCTCTGAATTAGAACATATCCCACAGGTTCTCATTTGGATTGTTCATGACAGTTGGCTGCTCCCTATGTAGCAGGCAATGAGTTTTGGCAGTCTAGAAACACTTACCAGATTAGATGGGGGGGGGATTGTAGATGGGGGCCTTATTTGATTCACCTCTGAGTTTGCACATCATAGGCTAAATCCTGCTTAATGTGAGTCTCACAGTTGACTTCAGGGGGATCAGAATTTGGCCTCAAGTTGAGACATGAGTGGGTTTTCTCTAGCTGAGCCCACATGGTCTATGGGCACAGACCTGAGAGCAGTTCTCATAACATGAAATGAAGAGGAGATTGGTTCAGAGCTTGCCGATCAATGTGAGGATGACATCCCTCCTCCAGGAGAGAGCTTGGAATCTGGTGGAACATTGTAGAGTTTAAAAGTAATGCTCAAATCATTGGAATTGAAATGGACACTGTCAGGCTAAAAAAAAATAATTGAAAAAAAATTCCTTCCCTGTGCTACTAACAGCAGTGTCAATAACTGAAATAACTCCCCCCAAGCAAGTTTTCTTTTCTGCATCAATACTGTCTATTTACTTCTCAGCTTGGGCAGAGAGAATAGACTAGTCCGTCTCACTTTCTGGGTCCCATGCAGTAGCACAAGCGCTGCAACGTTTGGGTTGCAAAAGCAGCAGGAAGACGCACCGATCCAAGCAATCAGTCCAACAAAAACCTGTTTTCATTGCCTTTCTATTAGGCTTTGTAACAAAAGCCCACATTGCAGGCTTAAACTCTCTGACAGGCTCCTTTCAAAATCTGCTGGAGAATCTGTATGCCTTTGAAGCGTGTGCCAAGACTGATTCTTTTTAAAAGTTGCTGAGCATGAGGCTCTTGTTCCATGCACCTGGCATTCAATCAAGCTACTCAATGGAAACACGAAGGCAGTGGTGGTTTCCTCGTCTGGGCCTGAGTAATTTGATACACTGTTCAGAACTAGTAGGGATGAGCAAGAGTGGATTCAGGCACACACAGCGCTTCCTTTCAGTGCAGAAGGACTTTGAGTCTGTGTGGCATGGAGTTTCAAGAGGTTCCTGATGAAAGGGTCCGTGTGTCTATTGCTGAAGTGACACGTCCTCCTGGCAGAACGTGATTTGGATACTACACTAACACCTCAACTGTCGCTATAGTGCCCACGACCTCCCAGTGAGAACATGAGCTGCTACAAACCCCAAACAGTACAGTGGGCAAGTGCATGCAGGCTTGAATCAGGATGTGGACAGCAGCCATGCCTTGGGATCCCAGCAACTTTTGAGGTTCTCAAACACTAAAGATCCTCTAAAGACTCAAATCCCCCCACCCCCACCCCAAGCCTGTTTTTGGAGTCTGTTCCTTTAAAAAAATAAAAGGGAGAGGAGCATCAATGAGTCTTTTGGTAAAACCTCCTGAGTGGCAGGAGAAATTTGCCTGCTCCAGGGACTAGAATAGTTTCAAGTGAGGTCATCTGTGCTCAGACAAGAATTCAGTGGCTTGGAAGCTTCTGCAGCACGCAGGATATGAGGTTCCTGGAATATGCTTTCGAGGCTGTTCAGAGAAAGGAAGTGACTAAGGGCCTGATTTTGGGAGCTGCCAGGCACCCACTGGCCCCTTTGAAGTCAGTGGGCACTATATTGCTCAGCATCACTCAGGGTAAGGCCCCAAGTGTGTGTGTGTGTGTGTGTGTGTGTACATGTACATACGTATTGGTTGCTAAGGGTGAAGCTGGAGCACTACCACTGGAAACAAAAGGGCTTTTGGAGGAGGAGGGACTTTTATCCCCAGCCTTAGAATTGGAAGGTCTGTTTCTCCCCCACCCCCCTTTTCCTATCCTCAGTTGGCTCCTACTTTAATAAGTGCTTGGCTATTTCTCCCTCTCCTAAAGCAGCTCTGCATGTTTGGAAGAAAATCAAGCTTGGAATCAGATCAGCTTGTAAAAGTTCCAACTCCTCTTGGCTACTGAGGGCTTAACTTTGAGATAAGTTTCCATGAATGCAAAAAGGCACCAGCGGCCGAACAAACAGAAGCTCAGACTCTTGCTGGTAGGAAACTGCTGCCTGTCCCAGCAGAAACTCATTTTTATAAGACCTCTTGGTCTCCAGGAAGTGCTTTGTGGATTGGGGGGAGGAGAGGGGAAAAATACAAATGCACCTGTCCCTCAGGACACACGTGTTGTATGTCAGCAGCTGCCCTGCTGCTAAATTAGTGCTAGGCTTATTGAAATCTTTTACTCCTTGGTCTCTCTCTAGAAATCAGGTTGTGTTATAGCACAACCTTATGGTGTCATGTTAACTAACAATGTGTTAACAGTCACTATAGACAAGGACAAGGTGTGCTTAACATTTCATCATCTAGTCATGGGTAAATCCGACTAGAACAATAGGGTTAACCGCGGCCAGCTGACACAATGCCTAGCACAACTTCTCCCTCTCTATGCTGACTTCTAAGACATCGTGTTAGTTAACACATCTCCCCAAGGTCGTCATCTTAATGCAATCTTAGGCTATATCTACACTTAAAAGCCTGCACAGCTGAAGACTAGCCCAGAGGCGGCTTATTGCCTCATTGTTCTATTAGGGCCAATCTGGAGATGTACTGAACACATCTGTGAGGTGCTGAGCACCCTCTATTCCAGTGGTTCTCAACCTGTGGTCGGGTCTTCAGACTGTGTCTAAGGGGTCCGCGAAAGACTTAGACTGAAAACTATATATACACACAATAGATTTCCAAATTGTTTAGGGATCTGTAAATGAAAAAAGGTTGAGAACCACTGCTCTACTCTCTTCAAAGTCAGTTGGAGGTTTGAGTGCTCAGAATCCCCCAGGACAGAGCCCATACTGAGATGTGACACTCCCCTGACCCACATTGTAGGCATATAAAAAGCCAGGCAGATTAAAGAGTATTTGGTGGTTTTTAGAAACTTAGCATTGCAGTGAATGGGAGGAGAATAATATTGTTACATGACTTCCTTGAACTGCATTTGATATGCGGGGGGGAGGGCGGGTTCACATCTTTCTGGCTTTGTTTAGACTAGGATCTAAAGGTAGGTGTGGTGTTAGCATGTGGTAGCTAACAAGTGCTAGCTACTAAATGTCTAGTGTAGACAAGGCAGTGTATATGTTAACATGCATAGTTTAGCATGTGTTAACAGAATACACTGCCTTGCCTATGCAGGACTTTTAGGACGTGCTAGCTAATGTGTTCTAACAATGCACCTTTAGATCCTAGTCGTGACGCAGTCGTTCTGAATGATGTAACCCTGTAGCCATTTCCAAATGTCCCGGGGGCGCCAAATACCATTGTAATGGAGGAGAAAGGGTGATTTTTTTTTGTTTTCCTTTTTAAAAATTCAGATCTAACAAGCGAAAAGGCCACAAAGACAGGCTTGACAGCTGAAATGCATTTCTTCTAGAAAAATGTACAATACTCAGTGACGTTTGTATCGCTTCTATACGAAATGGTTTAAAAACCAAAAAGGACTTGTGACGTTTGTGAGTGTTGCTATTTTAGAACTTATTTCTATAAGTATTTTTTTCTTAAAGATGTTTAATAGTAATTCATATAATAAAGTCATGTCGTACTCTTAATGCCTTGGTTTTCTTTGCTTTTGATTTTTTACGGCCATGAAAAAAATATGTGAAACTGAGAATTGAATTAAACAAATTTTTCTTTCATCTCAGTTCTGGACACTGCTCTCAATGGCTCATCTGTTACCGAAAGAGTAGCTCTTCTAAGTGAGGGATTCTTATTGCCTCATTCATGATGACTGTGTAGTGCACAATCCAGTAGGCGGCTCCAAAGAAACAGGAAGGAGGACTTCTCTGAACAGCCCGACTGCCATAGCAGAGCTCCAACAAGCTCTTGTCAAAGTGATCTGAACTACAGTTGGTCAGCAAATGGCTTTTTCCTGCCCCCCACTGAAATTTTTAGACTATAACTCCCATGATGCACCACAGTTTCACCTCGTGGAGACCAGAAGCAGTGCATCATGGCCATCCCTGGCTGTGGTGCATCATGGGAGATGTAGTCTGTCTGGGAAGCCTGGCCCATAGAAAATCAGGGACATGAAGTAACAACATTACAACTCCCAAGAGGCACTGAGGTAACCTATCCAAACTGAAATATCAGGGTTTTTTTGAAAAAATTGAACATCTGAAAAAAAAATTTCCACAAAAACCAGATGCTTTTCATGTAAAACTTTATTTCAGTGGTTCTCAACCTATTTACCATTGTGGGCTGCATATGCAGCTCTCTGTGTGTTATGTGGGCTGCATCCACCCAATATATATACTACCTGTATGGCCCTGAGGATGTCACAGCTGCAGCTGTGTGCTGAATGAGCTGCGGGTTGAGAACCACTGCTTTATTTTATTGAAAATCCAATTCTCTGTTTAAAAATAAAAAGGCTTAGATGGAAATTGTTTCATCCGGTCCTAAATTGAATGCCTGGGCAGCTAATGGGGGATGCGGGGGTTATAAACTTTAACATGAAATTTTGACTCAAAATCACCCCTCTTTACAGTACAGGAGACTCATAAACCCAAGGAAAGCTTTTCCTGGAAATGTGA